TTCTGGAGGATCTCTCCCCAGAGGGCAGCAGCCTCCAAGGTGGGACACTGCCTCCCCACTATGGTGATAGGGCTCCCCGGGGACTCTGTGGGCTGGTGCTGACCGTCCTCCTGCCCACTGCTTCTGCACCACAGCTGCTGGCTATTTCCCCAGCCAGCAGACCCCTCCTCTTTTGGGCAGCAGGCTAGGGTTTTGTATAGGGCTTTTTTGGGGAGAAGGTGTCTTCAGCTGCAGTTAAACATCACCATAAACAGGACTTGGTAGTAGTGGTTCCCAGGTGGACAGTAAACTCCTGCTGCTGTATTGTGTTGCTACCTAGAAGGGAAGATGTTGTAGAGAATCTGAGATAGAGCATCTTTTTATCACAGTGTTTTCAGATACAGATTGCAAAGCTCTTTGGTAAAGGTAAGTGTTGTAATTCCTGCTTGATGATTAGGAAACAGAAGGGAGGGAGCCAAGTGGCTTCACCATGGCAGCGAGTCAGCAGAAAAGCTGTGAATCACATCGCTACCTCTGTCCTACTCCTCCGATGACTGCTTTCCCTTCCCCCAATATGTGTATAACTGTGCTTAGCACACGCCCAACTTGCGGAGACTGATAGCCTGCTTGATGGCATGTAGAAATCCCCTAGCATATGTCTCAGCTTGTAGAAGACCTAGCCATGTCGTAGCCTGCTGTGGCTGTAAGGTGTGTCTGACCTGGCCCCCCAGCCCAGAGGTGCAAGCTTTGAGGACCAGAGGCTGCTGCAGGTATCCGGAGATGATGCGCGCTCCTGCAGATGGGTGTGGGGACATTTTCCTCAGCCTGGGAATTCATGCAAAGGGGACTGCGATGTTGGAGGATGGTGTGTGAAGCGAGGTGTCTCATTATGGACTTGCTGTGGACACCTAAAGTCTTTGCCAGCCTCTCCACCCTAACAGGTACGTCCTGGCCGGGCTCCACCATGAGTTGTCACCCGTTTAACCTCCCAGAGCTCTTCCAGCAGATGCACTGGGATACCCTCAGTGGTGTGGGAGAGGTGTCTCTGTGTGTCATCGGAGGGCTGATGTCTTCTGTCCTGGTGCTACCTGCAGGGCCCCTGCCAGAGCACCACTACAGAGCTCAACACCTGCACATATTCTTCACACAGGTTGTGTGGCTTCACGGAGGCTGGGAGACCAGGCTGGCTTTAATAAAAAAATGAAAAAACAAGAGGGGTTGTAAGCATGACTTGTTGCCAGTGTAAACTGAAAGCCTTAATAGCATATGTAGGGCCAATTACAGTACATTGAGGTATGATATCCTCTTTACTGGCACCCTCCAGGGAGCCGGGAGACATCGTGGCAACAGGATTACGGTTTGCAGATGATATGCATGATAACTTCACCTAGACACATGCACCTGTTTCCCTCACTAAGCAGATGTTTGGGAGGCTGTTAAGAGAACATCAGCCTCTTGACAGCGCAACAGAGAATGCCGTGTAACCGTGCCTGTTCACATCACCACCTCCGCTGCTTTGACAGAGGGCTGGGGCAGCCCTGCACCAGCACACAAAACCCCAGCCCCTGGGGCAGACTGGATTGACTCAGCAGTCAAAGGCCTTCCCTGGCTCTCTGCCCGGGCAAATCCCTAAGCCAAGAAAGAGAGTTTCCCCTGTGTCAGGAGAGCGAGGTTCGGCTGGCCTGGTGCCTGAGGCATCAGTCTTCTTGCGATCTCCCTTGTGCACCAGCAGCTACAACCGTTTCCACATTGTGGTTGACGTCTTTAAACATGACCTGGCAAGCTGCACGAGGCACTTTGTGCTTACCACCAGGGTGGAAAGAAGTGGACTCCCTGGTGTTGTATTGTACCACTACCATCACTCTTGACCACTAACTTCAAGATGTAATTTTGTTTTTTGTTTTTAAGTCACTTTTCCCAAATGCAAAAGGAGCCTTTTGGATTAGTTTGCGTATCAGAGAATGGTGGCTGATGGTCATCCCTGTGGGAGAGCAGGGGCACAAGGCGACACACAAAGCTTCCCCTATCTTAACCAGACTGCAGGCTGGGGATCTCTCCCCTGCATGAGCAAGCAAACCAGCCTGCAGCCCAAAGGTGAAGCTGCCCCAAGCTAACCTGTGTGCCACAGTATTTCCAGCTCAGCAGTTTTCAGCCTGTGGTCTGTGAAAGCCACGAATTATTTCTGTAAAATCTGCAAAGAGTAATGAAGAAGAGGTAGGCGTGCATTTACTAGGCAGGAACCAGCACCTGGGTGGGGAAGCGTTTAGCGTTCACCGAGTGGAAAAGACTGAGAATGTCCTCTCTAATTCTGTGGGAGGGAAACAAAACCTGTACTCACATCTTACGTGGTGTGCCTCTGTTAAGAGAATAAGTCATGTTAAATGAGAAGCGCGTTTGCAGGGGTGTCATTACATATCACTGATACCTCTAATCAAGATGAAACTTCACGCATGGTGTTAGGAACCTGTGCAAGTGCATGCAGTCTAGCAAAGGGAAGACCTGTAATTCCCTGCCAAGGCCTGCTGCTCTGACTGGTAGCAGCAGAAGTGATCATCTCATCAAGATTAGGGGGACTCTGCCTGCTTGGGCAAATTACTGAATGCTGGCTGCAGTGGCTGCCAGGGAGGGCTTGGAGGGCATGCATGGAATTTGAGTTAATAAGGTTTCTTCCTCATCACCCTTATCCTCACAAAAGAAGACATCTTCCCAAGTGTCAAATGGAAGCAGGGAGAACTGCATGGAGGCTGTCCAAAAGCTCTTAGATGACCTCAGGTATCCATGCTGTCTGTACACAGTGAGAATTGCTACGATTGTGGTCTGGGAACAAGCCCTCACTGCTTTAGTGAAATACATCTGCCATGTATGAGGTGCAGGTCTGTTGCCTCAGACACCAGGCTTAGGAGTACTCCATGCCCGTCCTTCTCATTTTCATCTGGAGGTGCCACGATGTGGGAAGAGCACTGGCAGGGATGCTTGCCTCTCAACAGCTCTGGTCTGTGCATACCCTGGCTCTGTCTCTGTGTGTGTGTTGATACTGAGCCACCCCACCACATGCAGCGTGTGTATATATACTGCATTTTAATAGATATAGGGCTACTGACTTAACATACACAGTTGCTATAGTAACAGAGGTTTCCTTAGTAACGGTTGCAGAAAATAATCCAGTACCAATTAAAAATAAACTGTTTGGAAAGGGAGCTGGGGGAGAAAGGAAACTGCTGAGAATCACCTTCCCCTTTATTGGTTCATCTCCCAGGGACTTGGAAGATTGATTAAAGCTTGAAATAACCTTTCTTAACCAACGGTGAGCCAAAAAGGTGGGATGAGTGGGAGTGTGGTGGTTAAGACTGCTGCCCTGAAGCAAAACAAAGGATGAGTGTGTCTAGGGTACAGCAGAAATACAGCGGGGTGATGCTAAATCTCACCATTAGGTTGAAGTCCCCAGAGAGGAAAACCAAGGGACTATTTCCTGCCTTCCCTCCCTCCACTGTCTGCATGCCATACTGGTAACACACCCATGGAGTCTTTATTAGCATACTGATTAAAGCCATGGGCAATCCATACTGGAGGGGAAATGTCTAATGCGTTACCAGGGTGCCTATCTAGATGCTGTGATAGAGAAAGAAAGCGTTGGCTGTGGTGGGAGTTCCTCCCTCCCATCTGATGATGTTTGCCTGTGCCTGTCCTCTCCCTTGGTGCCTCTGTTCATCACTTGTGCTGGCAGGCATCCGAGACCAGGGACTGAGAGAAGCTGGAAGTAAAGTGTGATGCAAAGCGGGGAGCTCTCGATAAGAGAGAGGAGACAACATTGCTTCCTCACAAACACAGGATGCGTGGGATGGGTTTCCAGGGTGCGGATGGGCAGAGCTCCCCTGGCAGCCTTCAGCTGCTCGTGCAACATTTTCGTCATGCTGCTTGCGCCCAGGACGCCCAATAGATTTCGTTACGAGGTCTGCCAGCTGTCAGCAGCATCCCTTCACCTGGCGGCAAGGCATCATGCCCTCTTTCAGAGGGGAGCTGCCATGCCAGGTGAGGTGAAGAAGGGGAGGTGGTGGCAGAGCTGCTGGGAGGAGTGGTGTGTCCAGGAGATGCTCCTCTCCTCAGGTCTGTGGCCAGCAGGACACCAGGGCACACCAAATGTGTGCACTTCATGTCCCCCTCTGAAGATGGGAGTGCCCTGGGTCAAGGCTCCGGTGACAGACATAGCCTGAGCACACACAGCAGAGGCTTTATTTGCTGCTCCTACAAGGAGAGAGGAATTGGAAACCTGTCTCTCTCCTTGCAGGACAAGAATGAATGACACTGCCACGTTGTCCTCAGCACTGTGTGACTGCTTAGCTACCCGCATGGGAGCTGCAATTGCTCCTGGAAAGTTGAGGGAGGGGACATGCCAGTAGCTTGTCCCAGACCGCAACATCCATGGTAGATCTAGAGCCAGGTCTCCTAGCTACTGGAACAGAGCTTGCTCTTTGCCGATCCTTTCCAGTCTAGTGCTTTTTCTTCTTTTCCAGTTGTGCCTGTGTTTGTTTCTCCAGCTATTGTGTGTCTGTGGGTTATGTGTCACTGAAATGACTGTCATGTGACAGCAGTAGAGTCTCATTTAATTTACACTTCCTGGAAATGGTTTTCTCTGGAACTGTCAACAGCTCATTGCCCTGAGGTGCAGGTGGTAGGATTTCACCATGAAAAAACCCACTGACTTTGGGTGTAGTCTCTTCGCTAGGTTTGGTGCATTAGACCGTGGTGAATAAAGAAGGGGGATCTCTCAAGAACAAACTATGAAAAAGCAGCCTTTTGCTGAGGGTCACAATGGGAAGATCCAGGAGTAGAGTGGAGTGTAAAAGAAGAGATTTGGTAGGAGAACATCTAAACACTTAAAGGTCCAGTGCAGGTGGGACCCAGGCAAGAGCAGCCGTGCTGGCAGTTGATGGAGGAGCCTCTGGTCCTCCTCAAACCAGTTGAGTTCCTTTTCTGTTTTAATGACCCACCCCTCCTCATTCTTCTCTCTTCCTCCCTCACAGTGACCAAGCTGCAAGTGAGCAAGTCAAAGCGGAGCATCACTCTGGTGGAGAACCGGCCCATTTCCCTCAACTGCTCAGTGAAATCCCAGACCAGCCCTGACTCACACTTCGCTGTGCTGTGGTATGTTCACAAGCCCTCTGACGCTGACGGCAAGCTCATCCTGAAGACCACCCACAGCTCGGCCTTCGAGTATGGCACCTATGCGGAGGAGGAGGGGCTGCGGGGACGGCTACAGTTCGAGCGCTCGGCGTCTGGGGGGCTCTTCAGCCTGACGGTGCAGCGGGCCGAGGTCCGAGACAGTGGTAGCTACTACTGCCATGTGGAAGAGTGGCTGCTCAGCCCCAATCATGCCTGGTACAAGCTGGCAGAGGAGGTGTCGGGGCGGACGGAGGTCACCGTCAAGCAACCAGGTACCACGGGTCCCCTTGGCATCGGCTCTTGTGCATGGCTCGTGAGCTTGACAAGCTTCTCTGGAGCAACGTGGATCCTCTGTTCTTCTTCCCACTAGAGACTTGTCACTCCCTCCTGGTTTTCCGCCTTTGATGTGACCCTTGTCCATTTAGGCTGGGTCGTAGTGTATTTCAGTGTCCTCAAATGAAGGTTTTCTGTCCCCCACAATCTAGAGGCCCTCCATATCCAGCCAGGTTTCTTTATCCTCAAAAGCATCATGTAGCAAGAGTGTCGACTAGCGACCTACTGAGAGAGAACTGGCGTCTGCCTGCTTGGGAAAGCGTTTTTATGTTTTACACACAGTTTAATTTTACTGTGTGCCTGTATCCTGGCAGGCGCGGGGAGCCTTGTCTCTTTTCCCTCTGTGCTGTGCATATGAGATGCAAGGAACGAGTTTAATGAGGTGGGGAGCTGGCTGTCAGGGAAGGAGAAATCGGCTCTGCTGGTGGTTTCCGTGGCAGCGAACATCCCCGCTAAAGGTGGGCTGATGGAGGAACTAAAGATGGCCCCCATGCACTGGGGAGCTATCTTTTTGTACAAATCGGGGAGGCAGGAAGGCAAGTACTGTCTCTTGACGTCTGCCTGGACCCCACGTGTGATGCTGAGGCAGAGCATCAGTACTGCACAAGGAAACTTGCCTTGTCCCCCGCTTGCTCCAGATGCCTGTTTCTGGAGGAAAAAGTCCCTTGGGCAGGAGGGACGCACCTAGATAGCAGGGCCAGACTAGGAGCCTTAATGCATTTTCTCTGTTCAGATTTGGCTGGCAAGACACAAGATCTGTGGATGGGGTGCAGGGTGGAGCATGGTTCCCAATGTGGCTTTGCCTGCTCACTCAGGAAGCGCAGCAGGCCCAGCATGCTGCTCGCTGATGGTCCCAGCCCCTTGTGTCTGTCTGCAAAGTCCCTAGATGGCTGTGGGGTGGGTAGGGACCAGGGCGAGCTGTGATCTGCCCTCTCCTTTGCATCACCCAGCTCTCTCTGGGAAGTACCGTGCTCATCGCTTTCTGCAGCAGCCATACCAGGCAAGTCCAGGCAGTGCCCCTGGGAAGAAGTTGTGAAGGAATGTGGAGTATACGTCATTTCACATAAAAGAGCTGATTGCAGTCACCTCCCTGTGTATCAATGAAATTGTGGAGCAAAAAACCAGGGGCATTCCCAAGGCCGCAAAACACCACATGTGACTTGACCCTCATGCCACTTCTTGTTTTGCAGTGGTTCCCTATAATCAGCCGTTTGTTCTCCACCTTGCTTTTTTTCCTTTTTCCCACAATGGGAGGGCGTTCTGGTCAGGTTTGACAAGGCTACTGCCCTGCCCCAGGAGGACAGTGAGAAAAGATTGAGATGTTACCTCTCTTCACAAGGTGTCTGTGCACTTAAGACACCCTGGGTCCTACTGGGAAGCTGTGGGTTTCCAGTTCCATGTGCTGAACAGGGGAGGCGTTAGTGCTGGCTAGCATGAGATTTTCAAAAAACTCTACAAATCGCAAGTCCTATTTTCTTTTCCTCCCCCTTTTTTCCCCCCGTTGTGGTTTCTTTTTCTGCCCTTCTCCATTCTTTCATCACACCCCGGGACTGTGGCTATGTGGGAAGGGCTTGTGGGGAGAGAAAGGACCCTTGCACCCCTCAGTCACCTTGCATTTCTAATGGCCTTTTCCCATAGATAACCGCCTGCAGGTGAACCAGACCCACAAGAACATCACGGTGCTGGAGAACCAGTGGGTGACCCTGGAGTGCCTGGTCAGCAGCCGGACCAGCCCCTCGTCCCAGCTCTCGGTGGAGTGGTACGTCTGGCGACCGGGCCACCCGGAGAAGGAGGCCGTGGCCCGGCTGAGCCGGCAGAACACCCTGCGCTATGGGGACCTGGTGGCTCTGGGTGACTTGCGGAGCCGGCTGCACCTGGAGAGCCCGTCCCCAGGTCTCTACCTCCTCTCCATCCAAAACGCCACTGTGCGGGACAGCGGGGCCTACGACTGCCGGGTGGAGGAGTGGCTCCTTGCCCCCAGCGACCGCTGGTGCAAGCGGGCGGAGGACCTCTCTGGACTCACCACCCTCACTGTTAAGCAGCCAGGTGAGAGGGATCTCACAGCAACAGCTTTAAGCAGCGCTCTGCCCTCTTGGAGCCTTGTAGGTCACCATCTGTCTGTCATCAGCAGCGGGTCCGAGCAGAGGGCAGGGCCGCTGCGCTGCAGACTGTGCTGATGCTCTCTTGCATGTCTTCTTGGGTGCACACTTGCTTTTCTGGAACAGGAATAAAGCAAGTCCTGCAAACACAGCTAGATGGACATGGGATTTTGTCACTGCTACATATGCAAATTTTGCGTTTTACAGCACTTTTGGCAGGTTAAATAGGATAGGCTTCCGATTTTATTCACATTTTGATTGAGAATGAGATGGGAGAAGCTATCTGTGCTTCCATTCACCACCAGCCTACAGTGGCAAGGTCCTTTTATGAAAAGAAGGCAGCAGAGGAGGTCTAAGACCACACTGCTGCTACCCCTTATGTGTGTGAAGAAGCAGATGCAGGTTGTACAGCTCCAAGGATTCTTCTATCAGTTGGGACAGGGACTCAGGCTTCTTGACTGAGCAATAGTTGGCTATGAGGAGCCTGCTCCTATATGGACAAGGGGGTACTTACAGGCTTCCTGGCCTCTCTCTGGCAGGTGATAGTGGTTCAGACAGATCCTGCTGCCTAAAGTCATTGTTTAGGCTGTGCCCAGACACGGGGAGATAGGCATCAGAAATTTCTGCAGGTGCTTCTTCTTTCCAGGATCTAGTGGGGTAAAAAGTGATAGAGAGGTTCAAACCAGGGGGCAAACTCCAATTTCAAAGGAGTTGAAATAGGAATAGAATAGGAATTAGGAACAGGAACAGGAACAGGAATAGGAATAGGAACAGGAATAGGAATAGGAATAGGAATAGGAATAGGAATAGGAATAGGAATAGGAAATTCTAGTTGGGAAGGACCTACACTGATCATCTAATCCAACTTCCTGACCACTTTAGGGCTGACCAAAAGTCAAAAGCATGTTATTAACACTGACAAGCTCGAGGCATTGACCACTTCTCTAGGAAGCCTATTTCAGTGTTTGACCACCTTCTCGGTAAAGAAACGCTTTCTAATGTCCAGTCTGAACCTCCTCTGGAGCAGCTTTGGACCATTCCCACACATCCTGTCACTGGATACCAGGGAGAAGAGACAGCACCTCCCTCTCCATGTCCCCTCTTCAGGAAGCTGTAGACAACAATGAGGTTGTACCTCAGACTCCTTTTCTCCAAACTAGACAAGCCCAAAGTCCTTAGCCACTCCTCACAGGCCTCCTAGCCCTTTCACTAGCTTTGTTGTCTTCCTCTGGACACATTCAAGGATCTTCACATCCTTCTTATATTTTGGGGCCCAGAACTGTACACAGTGCTCAAGGTGAGGCTGCACCAATGCTGAACACAGCAAGATAAACAACTCTTTTGATGGCCTGGTCATGCTGTGTTTCATCCACCCCAAACCATGGGTTTCCCTCTTGGCAGCTGGGGCATGCTGGTGAATCATGTTGGGCCTGCTGTCAGCCAGCACCCCGAGACCCCCTTCTGCAGGGCTGCTCTCCAGCCACCACTGTGCCCATTTGTGCCTGCTGTTACTCTGTCTGAGGTGCAGGATCTGACGTTATTTGTTAAATGTCACATCATTAATCATCGTCCAATGTTCCAGTCTTTCTAGAATTGAAATGATGACTGGTCGCCAACCGCACATAGCCCTGTTCACTACAACACTTTGAGCTCTGGCCTTCAGCCAGTTCTTCACCCAGTGCACCATGAACCCACTCATCCCACAGCTGGACAACTTGTCCAAAGAGATCTGTGAGGGATAGTATCAAAAGCCTTACCAAAATCCAGAAAAACTAAATCCACCACCTTCCCTTCACCCACTGGGCAGGTGGCCTTGTCATAAAGGACATCAAATTAGTTAAACAGGACTTACCCTTTGTCAACCCATGTTAACTGTGCCTGATGATTCCATTGTTCTTCAAGCACCTTTCAGTAGTACCCAGTATAATCTTCTCCATATTTTTTTCCAGGAGTTGAGGTTAGACTAACAGGTCTGTAGTTCGCTTGGTCTTCCCTCGTGCCCTGTTTGTAGATTGGAATAATGCTGGCTAGCTTCCAGTCAGCAGGGACCCCTTCAGACTCTGAAGACCTTTGGTAGATGATCAAGAAGGGTCCAGCCATAACATCCGCTAGCTCCTTCAACACGGTGGCATGAATCCCTTCAGACTCGTGGGCTTGTGAACGTTCAGCTAGTACAGCCAGTCACTTAGAATTTCAATGTCCACAAATGGAAAGTCACTATTCCCAACACTTGTGGTCCTCTGACTCAGAGGGAGAGCCCAAGGTCTATCAGTATTAATAAAGACTGAAGGAAAAAAACATTGAATGCCTCTGCTTTCACTCCATCCCTAGTAGTCAGGTGACCACCTTCAACAGGTATTGGTCCAGTGTTTTCTTTAGACCTCCTCTTGCTATTAACATTCTTTAAAAGGCCCCTCTTGTTACCTGACACAACACTGGCCAGTTTCATCTCTAATTGAGCTTTGGCTTTTTTTGTGTGTTCTCCCTGCATATAGGAACCAGAGTTCTGTAGTCTTCCTGTGAAGCCTGACCTTGCTTCCGGAGATCACACCATTTCTTTTTCCTCTTGTGCTCCACGAGGAGTTCCCTGTTCAGCCAAACTGCTCTTCTGTCTTGCTTGCTTGATGTAGGACACAGTGGAATTGCCTGCTCCAGTGCTTCTAAAAGGTGTTTCTTAAAGACTAACCAGCACTTGTGGACTCCTAAGCCCTCAAAAATGGATTGCCAGGGTACTCTGCTAGGTTTGTCTGTTTTAACAACAGATAAGCTGCAAAGATAGTTTACCTTGGAAAATATAGATTCCCTAGTTTTTGAGGCATACAACTCAAATGTCTGTCTTAAAGGCTGTAGGTCAGACTATAGTCCTCACTTACTGGGTACTTTCCAGCATGTAAAGCAACCACTTTCGCAGTACTGCTGTGGTACTTTATACCTGCCCACTCCACCAAGGTGTCAGCCTCATAACTCTGCAACAAAACTGGCAAAAGCGCAAGATTCTGGAAAGGTTTTAGTGGTCTTCTCTCGCAGAGAAGATTTGTACTGAGAAGGATGAGCTCTCTCAGGGGACAGCACAGCCCTTATCCACCAGGACCTTGCTTGGGAAACTTTGCTGTCCAAGATGGCTTGAGCAGAGACCCCGTACCCCAGGCAGACCCTGTACCCTGCAAGTGTAGTTGCTCTTCATCCAGGCTGAGAATTACCAGCCCTGATGGAAGGGGAATGAACGTCAGGGGAAAGTCTTGAGTGAGGCTCATGTTGAATCACAGAAGGATATGGAGTGGGAGGAAGAGGAGGAGTTGGGGGTGCACTAGTTCAGGATATTTTTTTTCTAAAAGAGCGTTGTTGTTGTTTTTTGATTCCATGGCAGCCAGTAGCTAACAAAATGACAAAAATAGCATAGCTTGTGACTCATGTCTCATTAGTGAGGATCTCCATGCTCATCTTTCAGGATTATAATTGTGAACAAAGTGGGGAGGAAAACCTCCTAGCATCTTCAGATAGCAGTTCTCTTTCTGCTTAGCCTGCTGAGGTGAAGGAGGCTTTGTGTTGATTTTGACAGGCTATTTCCTCCCCTTCCTCCTTTTTACCTCAGCAGTCCCTGAAATCTCAGAACTTACCTCATTCCTGTTTCTGCTCAGGAGTCTTCCTAGGGAAGCTGTGAACTGAACACAGTCATGTTGCCTGTGGCCTGGAGAGCTCTGCCCTTAATGAAGATATTCCTTGTGGGACCATATAAGAAGTTAAGGGCAGGTGCTGTAATGAGAAACCCCCCTGGGCACAGCAGCCCCATGGCTGATGAGAGCTGGAGGACAGTAGCCCCCTCCTGCAGGAATACCCAGAGTATGCACGAGGGAGGGGTTGCCCAGCTATCTCCACTGGAGGAGAAAACGCCTCTCTCCTCAGTGAACTATTAGCTTGCCCTTCCTGCTCAGCTCCCACGTCAGAAAGGGCTTTTTAGTCTTTAAGTGAAAGCTCAGATCTGGACTGATTGCAGTCCCTGGAGTATGTGTTTCTTGGCAAGACCACTAAACCAAATGTTAATTGCTCCTGAAGTCAGCCTTTAATCAACTCATCTTGGGTTCTGGACACTGTGTCTCCATTAGGTAGAAATGTCTCTTTAGCCTTGCAGCAAGCACTAGAGAAAAAAAATGAGACAAGCACACTTTTGGAAGCATCCTTGCTGTGTCTGTGCTGAGGACCTCTCATAACTCTCAAATAACTTTCCAAATGGCTGGGAGAAAAAATCCTCTCCTCTTATGTCATGCTGATTTTCAAGACTCTTGAGTGCTCTCAAAGAAGTAAGAAATAAGTGTGGAGTGCAGCACCGGTAGCTGGGGAGGAGTAGTACATTGCTTCTCAGCATATGCACCAAACCTCAGTATTTCTCGACATGTTCTTGTAGCATGTCTGGATGAGCTGCAGCGGCTTTCCCCGCTCACACACACTCCTGTTAGCAGTTGCGAGGGTCTGCATGGGCAGGGCAGCAGCACGGCACTTTCAGACAAGCTCCCGTTTGACCCTGTGCCAGGTAGCATGCGGTGAGGTGAGCATGCTGTGCTTGCGGGGTTGACCACGGAGGTACCTGTGGGACTTGGCAGGCTGCGTCGAGCCTTTGCATTTCGTTTGGATCGCATCCAGCACCGGAGTCATGACAGTCGGTTTGCACCGGTACAGGGTGGCTTTGACGACAGCATTTTGCTCAGCGCTCACCTCTCCCTTTTGTCTCCTCAGATCCCACCTTGCAGGTGGACACGGCCACCGCCAACCTCACGGTGCAGGAGAAGGACTCCTTCCCGCTGGACTGCAGCATCCTGTCCCGTTCCAGCCCAGAGTCCCACTTTGCAGTGACATGGTACAACCTGCGGGCCAAAGAGGCGAGCGGCCATGCAGATGAGGAAGAGGCAGAGGAGGAGGAGAGGGAAGCAGTGCTGAGCGTGGGCCCTGACGCCATCTTCAGCCCTGAGGCCAGTCGCTGGGAGGGCCGCCTGCGGTTCCAGAGGCTCTCAGCAGTGCTTTTCCGTCTGACGGTGCTACAAGCCAGCGGTGCTGACACAGGCAACTACTCCTGCCGTGTGGAGGAGTGGCTGGCGGACCCCAATGGCGTGTGGTACCGGCTGGCAGAGGAGGAGTCAGGGATGGTCGCCATTCACGTGCAGGATGCAGGTGAGAAGATGCGATGACCCTCTTGGGGACAGGGCCTTGGCATCCCCTGCATATTTGCTTCAACCAAGATAAAAAGGCCAAAGAGTGAGTAGGACTGGCTCTCACCTGCTTTTCCAGTCACCGTGATGGCTTGTAGCCCAGCTCTTGCTTGGGCTTGAGCATCGCACTGCACTTCGCTCTGTGCTGGCGACACCCACCCCGCAGCACTTGCCACCTGGCATGTCTCCGGTCAGTGGGGACAGACATTGCTCCCCACTGGGGTTTAACCCTTCCCTTTGGGAAACACCCTGGCATTTGGTTTAGCTCTGCACAGGCGTGCAGGCTGTGGCACAAGGGTCTCTTCCCAGCAACTCTTGAAGCCATCGGGTAGAGGCCCCAGAGATAGAGGTCATAGGAGTTTTGTGGGCCTTTAAAGAAGATAGCCTGGGGTGCTGCTTCTGTGTACCACTGCTGAGGGAATCTCCCCGCTTCGTAAGATCATAAAATCTGCCTCAGGGTGGGCTCTCTCTAGCACTCACAAAACTCTTGGGCGGATAAAGCCAAAACATATTCTGCAATAACTTTCTGCTGCTGCTGCTGTTTTCCAATATTGGTGTTTTTCTCAGAGCCCCACCTCCTGTATTAGCACAGATTAATAAGCATCTGTTATTTTATATTTCTGAAGAAGTTTATAGGCTCTGCACTGCAAAGAAGCCATGAAACGTGACTGTGCTATGTCTCTTTCCAGGCTCCACCCTGCAGTCTGTCATCTGCTCCAATGACGCCCTCTTCTACTTTGTGTTCTTCTACCCCTTCCCCATCTTCGGCATCTTGATCATCACCATTCTTCTGGTGCGGTTCAAGAGCCGGAATGCCAGCAAGAACTCGGAGGGCAAGAACGGGGTCCCCTTGCTGTGGATCAAAGAGCCTCACCTCAACTACTCTCCCACTTGCCTTGAGCCGCCAGTCCTCAGCATCCACCCAGGAACCATAGACTAAAGAGGCAGAGACACCCAGGGGGGATGCACAGAGAGAGAGAAGCAGAGACACGCCAGGAACCCTGAGAAACAGAGTGGATCTTGTTATTCTTGTTACATTTGTTTCAGTGTCTGTGCTCTGACGCTGAGCTCTGTGGAGCGCCCAGCCAGCAAGGATGGGAAGGTCCAAAGCTTCATCCACCACCTGTGGGAACGCACCCCTTTACCCCGACGGATGGAGGGTCCCTGAGCTTGCTGTACATAGCTGATGTTCCTCTTGGATTAATTTTTCTCCCATCAGTTGCTGTCCTTTGGGCTGTTACTTTTCTGTTGTTGTTTCTTTTCTGCTCAAAGAACTGTAGGCTTCCCTCACCCTCCACGCAGCAAGAAGTTCCCAGTGGGTGTTTGGTCCTGGGATGACCTCTTTGGAAGTAAATGTGTATGTTTTCCAAAACAGACTAGTTTTCCTCGTCAGACTTGGTGCCACAGTGAAGAAGGTCTTTTCCCAAGGTGCGTAGAGCTAGCTCCTCCATCTTACGAAACAGACAAAGCCAGGTCCACCTCTGGAGGGGTTAGGTCGGCTGTTGGGATGTCCATCTCAAAACACTGGCTGTAGCCTCAATGTCTTCTTGCTTCTGTCTTACTGTTCTCACAGGACGGGGCAATTCACCTTTTGGGGGCATTCCCCAGACTTGGAGAGAGTGAATATTCAGCACACTTGTGGTCAGGACAGAAGTAATTTAGTTTGTCTCCAGGAGCTAAAGGGGGTGACGGAAGGAGGACACCTGAAAGCCCTGACTTTGTTGGTAGTAAAGAGGATCCTTGTACAGTCCAGCTTAATAGAGTCATGCTCCTCCATGGTGTCCTCTGTGGCTGCCACCTCTGGTGAGGCAAGTCCCCTCTGTCACACAGTCACCTGGGGACAGATGCCTGGATCCGGTCTCTGAAGACTTCAACATGACCAAAGTAATGACTCTAGGAAGGGGAAAACAAGAAGCTCCACGGGTTGGGTTCATGGCCCCTGGATGGTTCAGCCAAGGAGCCCAGTTGCAGCCGTGCCACGCAGCAGGGGACCTGCAGTTAACCACCACGAGCATCCCTGTGACTTGCACTATTTGCCAGCATGAGCTTGGACAAGGCAAGGAGCCTGCACCGCATTGGCACCCTAGGGGCTTCCCTGTCCCCTTGGGCCAAGAGAAACCCTCCCCTGCATATGTGCGTGCGTCTGCTGCGTTCCTGGGGCTTTAGGAGAAACCATTTCTCTGTAAGCTCCCTCTCCTGGCAAAGTCACTTGCTCTTGTCATAGGCAGTTGCTGTGGCAGGAAATGCTGTTCTTTCTGTGAAAGATAAGGCTCTCGTGAACCAAACCAGGGCTCTCACCGCGTGGGGCACCTGAGCTCCCATACCCCGAAAAGCCAAGTACCCCTGCCCTGTCCTGTGGAGGAAGCCGCCTCCTCCCCCATACGCCCTAAGCGTTACGTCTGGCGGAAGAAAATGTTAGCCAAAAATGGCCTTTTGTTGTCTTCCTTGATGTCTTCCTGGCAAACCCGGCCACTGAGTTTTTGCAGCATGGCTGAAGCCATCCGGGGTGGATGGGCGCAGCGGCAAGACTCTCTCTGCCTCACCCATGAGAGGTGCCATACCCACAGGCATT